CTACACGTGAAGAAAGACCCCTGAACTTGACATTTCTTAATTCAGCGGTCTGAAAAAGTTTGGTTGCATTGATTTAAAGCTATCAACTTAATAGCTGGATTCAGAATTAACATTTTTCCTACCTACCCGTATTTGTTTTTTTGGAGCAAGTGCTATGAAAATTGTCGTTAGCTATCGACATTTCATCCGGATGAACAAAGTTTTGACAGCTACAATTTCGTTACACTTTTGTCGAGCAAATGCAAGTCATATCTTGAAACTCAGAAGAAAGAGCTCGGGTTATCTAAGCAACTTATGAAACGGTAATGAAACGGTACTCACTCTCTAACTAGAACGAGGTATAAAAATTTTACCATAAAACCATAAACATGCGCATTGCTGAAGCTTGTCAGCAGTCAAGTGAATCGAGATTCTGATTCAACGACGATGCAAATGGTATAAGAATTGACGATCTAGATTGAATCAAAATCCCAGAGGTATCAAAGTGCTGAAACTTAGCGACACCCCAAAGCGTTTATAATTTTCATCATTTCTACATATATTGGAAATTAGAAATCGTATTGAAAAAGATGAAAAGAATTTGTGAGCTGACTATGTTACATTTTGTAACTCATTGCTTACTTCATCGCTCAAATCAGAGCGTCACTTAAAGCTTTGTATGCCAGCATTGCTTTGATTTTGATACGTCAAAACATTTTTGCACGTATGTCATTATCCCTTAGAACAGATGTAAGAAGATTTCGCACTTTCTTGATAGCATTTAGTCTCATATGTGCTATTGCTAACGTAGGCGCCTTTATCTACTTATTAGACTATTTACTTACGACTTTTTTCACCTAGATAGATAGTTGGAGTAGTGAATATAACTGATAGAATTTCTATCAGTCATTTTCACAGACTATACGCTTCTCATTTGCCGTTATTGAGTAGCTACGGCATTTTTAGTCAAGTTAGTTAGTCTACCTAGCAGTATTTGCAGTAATGGTGACAGATCGGATGATAAGTTGTCCTGCACCCAAAAGATAAATGGAACTACGTGGTGGCTTCGCTCTGACGATTGCGAAGCTTCCAGTCAGCTGCTAAATTCTCGTGCGGTAGCACTTCCCAATGCATTACTCATCCTTCTTCAAACTGGCACCAACATCCCCTACAGCCGACGCGTATTCATGGATAGGGCCCAAGATAGGCGGGAAACGGGCAGGCTGAATATGATTTTGGGTAAAAAGCAGAGGAAACGTCGTACGGGATCATTTGATTCTACTGAAGGTTACGATACCCAATTTAATTGTCAGAGATTTACTAGCTAACAAGAAAACTTTCATGATCTAATTGAGCCGTTTGAACATTCGGCTGGTCGGCTTCATATCCGTCAATCCTACAAATTTTCACTTCGCTTACTCCTATCCCATAGTCACGGAGGTGACATATATTAGGCTAATGCATAATTCCTGCGCCAAAATAGGTACAAACAATAATTTGGAGTAATTCTATATCCCAAATAGGATTTGATATATCATTAGATAGAGCAAACCTGGCTATACAAGATAGTGCTCAAAGTTTTGCAGCAGCTTTGATTGAAGCGAAGATTGAAACCAAAATCCAAAAAGATCCAAGCACGTCAAAAAACCCAAAAAAGGAAGTCCGTTCAGAAAAATCCTTCAAAATTTTTGACTGGCTCATGCATTGTAATTTCGTATAAGACATCTCTCTATGCAGTTGCCGTATTTCTCTCTCAGCTAGAAATTAGGATAACGAAGTTTTTTTTTTATGTTTTCGCCAAGTTAGTGCTGAGATGTTCTAGCATTAACAGTTGTATAGTATATGCCATTAGTAATGAAACTTTACATTTTCAGTCTTTTAGAAGAACTAGTTTACGAGAAATATCAAATCTAGTTCTCCTTATCTGAACTTTTCTTGCCTAGCTGCTAAAAATTTGATATTTCTCGTAAACCAGCTGCTGTAAAAAGCTGAAAATTCGCATTTATGCTTTCTAAGGTCCTGTAGTGCACAATGTCAGTGATAAAACATCTCAGCATTGTTTTGAAAAACTTCGTTTTCTAGCTGAGAGAAAAATACAGCAACTGCATAGAGAAATGTCTTATACGAAATGACAATGCATGAGTAAGTTAGAAATTTTGAAGGATTTTTCTGAACAAACTTCCAATTTTTTCTTGGTTTTTGGGGTGCTCGCATCTTTTTGGTTTTTGGCTTCAATCTTCGCTTGAATTAAAGCTGCTGCAAAACTTTAAGCATTATCTTGTAGAGCTAGGTTTGCTCTGTCTGATGATATATCGAATCCCATTTGGGATACAGGCTTATTGCGGATTATTGCGGTCTGTACCTACTTTGGTGCAGGAATCATGCATCAACGTAATATATAGGATGTCCCAAAAAATGTGCCTAGTGTTTGACTGTTAATAACTCTCTTATAATGGTCTTTCGAGAAGCTTTAGGCACCTTTTTGTAGAGTTAGCTTCAACTTAGAATTACAGTATAAAACGAATCACCCATCTTTCATCGTTACTGTAGGATTACGGTAGAAACTTCAAAGAGGGTTATGAACCATGAAAGGCCACATCTTGCCTTAGAAAGGAAGCAAACGGCCTGAAAAATTTCACACTGGGCTAATTAGAGTTGCTGACTTTACATATGGAGCTTGCATCTTATAATAATGCTTCATTAATAATTTATGCGAAGTAAGCAATACCGGCGCGTTTTTCCGATGTTCCTTAGAAGTGAGATTATACCGTTTAGAAAGCTTCGCGACTTTGTACGAAGTTGAGTATCGAACTCAGCGTCACTGGAAATCCTATTACACAAATTTTCACAATTTTTTGAAACGGCAGCTTTTTTCAAAGTGACACCATATGCATGAAGCTCCTACCGTAATCCTACAGTAATGAAGAGCGACCGGTTCGCTCTATACCGCAAATCTAAGTATGAAGCCAGCTCTACAAAACGGTACCTAAAGCTTCTCGAAATACTACTTCATTACAATTGAGTTATTGACAATCAAACAGTAGACACATTTTTTGGGACACCCTGTATATGTGACACTTGGTTCCTTTGCACCTCCTCCCCCCCCCCCCTTTTCCTCTTTTCTTCCAGCTCCTCATCTCTGTAGGCGTTCCATGCGGCCATTGTTTTGCTACTATAGCACAGAGATAGAACTTCTAACACCAACACACTCTCGCCAGAAGCGCTGGAGTTCAAATTAGTGTAGATTGACATGTGGCTTGATATGAAGGAGCACGCAAGGATTTGAAGTTGAATTTGGGTGCATATGCGCAAAAAGAAAATAGAACAGTTTTCTCAAATTTAGTTTCAACGCACCACCCCGGCCAGCCATAATAATTTTTTTTCCTTTCCTCACATAGGTTTTTTCTCTTTCACATAACCTTTATCTAGATCCTAGGTCCTAAAAAAAAACTAGATTTCAATTCTTCTCAAACATTTTCCTCCCTGCTTACTTACAGACCCTAATAGATACCATACAGGTGGAATAATTCCTAACTAAAATAAATAAAATGGATTCGCCGAATGCATTGAAACTTGCCAAAAGCCACACCTGCGTACACAAGATTTGATGGTAGTTATGACTACAATGAATAAAACGGAACAACCTTAGCAAGAATGAATGATCTTACAGATTTGGATACAACACCTGAGAAATTGTGCTTGTGATATAAGTTGAGCCTTGATGCTCAGAAGCGCATCAACCCCATGACTGAGATTGGGGTCAATACGGCAACGCGTATTCAGAATCATGTAAGTTTTAGCCACCACATATTTTCAAAAAAAAATCAGCCCTAATATAACATGCTCATCTCATTTATAATCATTCTTCTGTGGAATTTTATCTTATGGTTGGAGCGAAGGATGCACAAGCCAAAATAGCCAATTTTCGCTTTCCAGAAAATTTTACTTTCAGAGTCTAGAGGATGCATAAGTTTTTTAAAATATATTTTACTTGCATTTACAGCAACTATGAAACGGTTTCCATGACTTGACCAAGCAGTAGAGTTCATTATGTTGCGACCACTAGGATTTGATGAGAGGAAGCCTTCACCAACTGAGCCTGTGTATTGGACTACTCGGGTGGGGAGGGGGGGGGAGCTGAAAAGGTTGAAGGAAGGGAAAGCTTGGCGAGCAGTACAAGTGGAGGAGTAAAGAAGAAAGGAAGGCAGTATTTTGTGTCTCCAAGCTAAATGGAGGGTTTCTCTCATTTGTCGTGGACACTTAGTTTGAGCGGAGTTAAAGTTAAAGAGTTAAAGTTGTTTTTGAGCTTGTTTTCTAGCAATAAAGTGTATTATCTTGCAAATCTTGCAAATGAACTCTGTAGATTATTCAAACTTATTGCTCTAATTCAGACAGTTAAAGAAATCAAAATTTTAATGCTTAATCATTTGATGTGATCATGCGGGTGAAATATACCATAAATTACAAATCTAGAAGATTGAGAATTAGAGAAACACCAACTGGTTACCTTAAAAATTATACAAAACTACGGACTACGAAATGTTTGATCGTTAATGAATTACTTGTGTTGCATTTTTGCGAACTCTTAGACACTCCATCATGCGGGCGAAATATAGCATATAATAGAGCTTCTTCGAGTTACATTTACAGCATAAAGGAAAATGTAAATTACTCTGTTGCTATAGTATCGCATTTTAAAAAAGTTCATGTCTATCCCAGCCATATCATGCGTTGAAAATTCCGGACAAGCTTGAGTCTGCCAGATAATAATTAATGCCGTTGAACTTGTATATGTAAACATAGCCATTTCAACCGTATTTTCTAGCACAAAAGCAACGCCAAGTACAACGTTCTTGCACTCAGACTAGAAAATGGTAACAATCAGTAAGTGTCCAATTGTGAACTTGTGCAGTCATTCAGACGTAGCGCCTGAAAACCTTACCGAGCTTTTTATTGGTGCATTGGAAGATTTGAAAATAATGAAATACTTGCAAAAAAACTCCAATGCTCAAAGTTCGTACCGTAATCGCACAATGATGAAGAGCGGCTCGTGGTCTAGTCTGTACAGTGGCTTTGGCATGTCAGTTCTAAGTTAAAACCAGCTTTTCAAAACGGTGTTTTACCTGGCATAATAATCCGGCATAATATGAAGAAACTCTCATGGTAAAATGCAAATTCCATACTTATAATTAGTTTAGCCCAGAATAATGTTCTCAACTTGTCGAGTAACCATTTTGCGGCAAAATGTAGCCATTAATATCTCAAAATGCTCTATAAGATTTCTACCGTATCTTAAAGCAATGAAGAGCGATGGGTGATTTGCTTTATACTCTAAATCTAAATTGAAGCCTACTTAAAGGTGCTCGAAGATAAGAGCCTCTGCGGGAAGAGAGTCATCAGCGATTAGGACGATGCACCTGTTATGAAAAGCTCGAATAAATCTAGCAGTGAGGTTTTTAGACCACAAGAAATTCAGAACATGATTGCAGATGTGCGAAAATGGATTTTTGTTGGCATTTCACACTTCTCGTTTGTTGCGTTTATTTGATGAAAATGTACTTCAAAAACAAAGTTTTGATCGTAAGCCTCAGTTGAGACTGAAGTTGTAAATCGTGAAATTAAAGGGCGAGAAAGTGCGGTAGATGTCATTAGGAAACAGCCGGAGATGCCGTCCCTCCCCCTCTTCCGGAAAAACTCGGCACGCTTACCAAAAATTCCGGCTTGTCTCCATCTTTTCTTAAAGGAATTGGATCTAGGTTTACAGATTAAAACCACTTAAGTGAATAACATATTATCGCAATACAATTGGCTATTTGCCTCATAAGTAATACATCTGCACATAAATAACACAAACATGGAGCATTCAAGTGAATGTGACAGAAGTAAGTGCAAAACTTTGACTACCCGATCAAAAATTATCACATGCTACCCGTTGATAAGTGGGTTGCGCATCAATTCAAGATGCGGAGGTGAGACAATTGCATATTCGAAATACGGAATGAGCGGAGCAGGCGTGTGGTAGAGGCCGTACTGACGGCTCAAACACGACTTGAAACTTTCCCTGGCTGACTTCTTCTTCAATTCGGTAGAGAAGCTCAATGTTCTCTCCAGTTAAGAGCTTTTGCGTTGCAATAAATTCATGATAAAGAAACTGAAAAACGGGTGTATTACACAAGCGGAGTAGTACTGACAGTGGCCGCTTACATCCATCTTCGGAGGTTTTTTCTGCATTGCTTCTACAACGGTTATATTTTCCTTGGGGCGCAATCCGTGACGTACAAGCGGATTCAGGCCAAGCACTTTTACATCTTTGCTTATTGATATCTAAAAGACTAACTATTGGATATATGCTTTTGGCTTTTTATTGAAAACTGATGCATGCTTACATTGCTGCTATCAAGGCATGATCCCAGCCCATTTTCCTCTATCCAATAAGTTATGGCATCGTTGTATTTCTGAAATAAAGAGAGATTCTGAAGAGTCGTAGAAGCATGCAGAACTCTGACCTACTTTTATTAATTTCGCCTTTTTCTTTTGCGCATTTTTCTCTTTGGGCATGGTAAGATTTGGCCGATGTATAAGGCAGGTGCAAAAGTTCTCGGCAACATAAGCATCGTAGCACGTTCTGGAAATTGAATGGATGGTGCGGTGCTTCATTCGTTTTGTGGCAGTGCGGCATCCAAAGCTAGGATATCATTCTTGTGATTAGATGCGAAGCGGAATCCGCATACACTGTCTACACGTATATGCGTGCTTTGAGACATCAGCGAGATTTTAAAAAGTGGCCATAAGTTATGAATTTATCAAATGAGCTCTTTTTGGCTGTAAATGATGATTTTTACAGAAATTTTCATGAATTAAGGTTTGAAAGCACGCCGAAAAGAGATAAAAAACCATTCTCAATGCTATTATAAAGTCCTTAGTTTCAGGTACGCCTCTTATTGCCCTACCTTCCTCCTAAAATAAAAATTCTCGGACTGTCATTGGCCATGACAGTGATGTAGAAAACTAGGAGACCAGTTGTGCTGGACAGAACCCAATTTCTTTTATAAAAGCATCGTGGCACATAATGTTTTCACCTTTAAAATATGAAGCTGATGTGCAAATGTACATCATGTCATTTAGGCGTGTTCAATGTGCAACTTGGATCACAGTATTGCTGTCGGCTACAGCATGAAGACGTAGACTTTGGCGAAATATTTATTTATAAAATCTGAAAATTCAATCGTTTAGTGTTCATTTATGCTCGTCTTCGTCTTTCAATCTACTATTGATTCATGATCGCTTAATCCTGGCTTCTGCCTTTGATGCAATTGATTGAAAAATAAGGCAAGGCTTGCAAATAATGGGGAAATGAATTCGTAAAAGTTTTGAATCGGAAGGAGAAGCTATTACAGAAACTTTCTGGTTAGGTCGTGCTAATCTTGCCCGTGCCTTTGTATCTCGTGGAATCATGGATTTGAGCCATTATAGCGTTGAAAAATTGATGAAACTCCAAATCTTTGTACAATTGTAAATTTTGCTTCCGGGCACGGGAGAAAGTTGAATGTGTCCAGTTTTCTGTTTTATCAAACTTCTTCTGAGTTTTGTGTCATTATCATACTCTTAATTCAATCTCATAATTATTTGGTCATTTTATTCGTTATCGCTTTTATTTTTATATCTTATATATAAAGCTGAATGTCTGTTTGTATGTCTGTATGTCTGTCTGTCTGTCTGTCTGTCTGTCTGTGTGTGTGTACGTATGTTCCGAATAGAAAATTCCATTTCTGAACCGATCCGGACCAAACTTAGCACACATACACTACGGGCCCCGGCGGGTGTCATAGGCTACTTTTCGTCATCGATCGATATCGATTTTATCGATTTTTATCGATTTTTTTGCTGTGTTCACCTACGGGGCTGGGAGTTGGCACAGGGGGGTAATCGAGCATGGGGATTCCGAATACAATATTGGTTTTCAGGATTATCGATTACTTTTATCGATTTTATCGATTTTTTGCAAAGTTTGAGCTACGGGGCTGGGAGTTCGCACAGGGGGTAATCGAGCATGGGGATTCCGAATACAATATTGGTTTTCGGGATTATCGATTACTTTTATCGATTTTATCGATTTTTTGCAAAGTTTGAGCTACGGGGCTGGGAGTTCGCACAGGGGGGTAATCGAGCATGGGGATTCCGAATACAATATTGGTTTTCGGGATTATCGATTACTTTTATCGATTTTATCGATTTTTTTGCAAAGTTTGAGCTACGGGGCTGGGAGTTGGCACAGGGGGGTAATCGAGCATGCTGATCACCCCGGAGGGTTTGACCCCGGAGGGGTTGATCAGCATGCTCGATTACACCCCTGTGCCAAATTCCAGCCCCCTAGCTCAAATTTTCAAAAAATCGATAAAATCGATAAAAGTAATGGACGATCTTGAAAACTAATATTGTATTCGTAATCTGCATGCTCGATTACCCCCTGTGCAAACTCCCAGCCCCGCAGGTCAAACTTTACAAAAAAATCGATAAAATCGATAAAAGCAATGGACGATCCTGAAAACTAATATTGTGTTCGTAATCAGCATGCTCGATTACCCCCCTGTGCAAAATCCCAGCCCCGTAGCTCAAACTTTGCAAAAAAATCGATAAAATCAATAAAAGTAATCGATAATTCTGAAAACTAATATTGTATTCGGAATCCCCATGCTCACTTCCCCCCTGTGCTAACTCCCAGCCCTGTAGGTGAACTCTGCAAAAAAATCGATAAAAATCGGTAAAATCGACATTGATCGATAACGAAAAGTGGACTGTGACACCCGCCGGGGCCCGAAGTGTATGTGTGCCAAGTTTGGTCCGGATACGGCGGAGCCGGGTAAGCCAGCTAGTTCTTCTATAATGCAAGGTACTATTAAACAAATTTTCTGCGGTCCTAATCGATATACGATTCGTGAAATTGCGCGACCACTGAAGGAATCTAAAGTATTAGACATACCTGATGCAATTTAAATCATGGCAACGACTCTTCATAGCTGATCTAAGCACTCTTACCTAAAGCCAGAGTTGATGCATTTGCGGCAACTTACAGAAGCCATGCGCCTATGTAATCGAAAACTCGCGTACGATCATTCTGTAGACATCTGGGCCCGTAGTAAACCCCCGAACTACGTCGTAATGTAAGGAAAACAAAATCATGACGTGTCCTACTAGAGTACATGCTGCTCATGATCATGTCTTGGTCCCCGCAAACTTGCACGCATGCACGATCAAACTCTTCGATGATTCTCGACGGCGGGCACAGTCACTGCGCTACTGATATCTCTTAATGTCGAGAAAACGCAGTCGCTTGCGACGTCTTCCGAGCAAATCGATAAGCAAACTTTGATATGTGCTAGCCTGTATGTAAGATGTAGAGGTATACACTGCTTCTACTGTGATCAAGGAGCATACTGAAGGTATCTTACAAGCGTGGCGAATAACGCAGCGTCAGTGTTGGACGCCGCCGGGCTAACGAGGTAGCGGGTACGAGTATATGTGGGCGTTTTGCAAGTCGCTGGCTAGTTGATTTTTAGGCAATAAACATAATTTGCCCTTTTCTTTCTGGTAGTAGAAAAATGTCAATGCAAAGCATAACGTATAGACAATACACAAGACAACAAGGAAATTGTAAAACAATCACTACTTTGATTGGTGCAAACATGAGCTATTCCATTAGCCATAGCGCCAGACGGTCCTTTCCCTCAAAACTATAGGGAAAGCTGAGCGCACAGTTGATGAACAGCAAATCAGCAATATGAGTTAAAAAGGTGCTAAGATGGAAGAAATAAGTAAACTGAGATATGCAGAAAAATTGGTACGCAAGTGAGTTGCGATGTGAGAATAAAAGTAACAAATAGTCCAAACACAATAAGGTACGAATAAGTAGAATTCTGATGTAATTTGTAATCAAAATGAACTCGTCTTTTCCAAACTATACGGGATGTTATACAGTCTGCCCCAATCGGGATCAGGCCGAACCGTCGGCTGAATTTGCGCGCTCGCAGCGCTATGGGATTGCGCTGCATACGCTCGCTGTCGCAGAGAGTGAAGAGATCGAGGAGAGAGCAGACCAGCTAGCCGCAAATGTGGCGCGAAACCCTCGCGGCGCGGACTCCCGCCATGCCGATTTTGGCCTGGTTAGGATTGGGGCAGACTGTAGCAATAATGCACAGAGAACGCCCAGCGCGTTGAAATTTGGGCGCAATCAGCCGTTGATATCGATTGCAGTTGGCGTGCGTTGAACCTAGTGCCGTGTGTCTACGGTCCTTGAGCACAGAACGAACGCAGCGTACTCGACCGACTCCTAGTCGGTTGCGCTTTCCTGCGTTTTCACGTTAAGCGCACCATTTTTCTTTGTCTGCCCCTTAAGTGACGACGTTCACGACGTACTCGTCTCTGCGCACGAGGACGAGCACGTCCTGCAGTCACAACGTCCCGTGATTACGCCGCGCTGCCGTGATAAGAGACAGCCGCCCGACGTATTGACAGGTTCCTACATCTATTAGGTCGTTTTATAAGTTCGTCGAGTTTTTGTAAATCAACGAAATGACAAAATTTTAGCGAAATTCAGTCAAATATGCATGTTTCGATGTTGCGCACAACCTTCTTCCACAATGCCGTCAAATTTTCATTTCTGTTTTTCCAGCTCCCCGCGGGTCTGGTCCCAAAAAAACGCCTAATCAGAGTCTGAGATCGTCTTTAGAATCGTCTAGACGCCGTTCATATGATTTGTGATAGAATGGAACAGATGATATTTTGCTAGAGCGAGATCTCAGGAGTACATTGGAGATACTATTGCACCTCCTGGTCATGCTTGCAGGACAGCTACGACGACGGTTCCCTATGCCGCCGTATTTTATCATGCAGAAAAATCCGCTGGACCCGTCTCTTAGACCTTTTCTGCAGTAGGGAACGTTTAGACTGTGCACTCGGCTTGCGTACGATATGGGCAACTTTCTTGTTCTTGCTTACAAGAAATGGTCAGAAATCGAAGTGGCCAAATCAAGCAGGCTGCATACCATTCGATGCAGCATCAAACGCTGACTTTGAATCTGTCTTCCTTACCTGCTTAGCGCTTTTATGGACGAAGCTATAAGTTGTTTTATTGCGAAAAAAAACCTACATAAAAACTGCGAAATTAAGCACATAATTGCCTTCTCAGCTCATCTGTGGGTATGGGCTGTACGAAGCAACCTTAGCAACCATGCTTCGGCCCAGAATTGAGCAGAACATATCTCTGCATGGCCAATTTTTCACTTTCTTAGCAAAACAATGGCTTTAATGGCTTATAACCTAACTTCGTCCAGAAAGGCGATAAACAGATAAGGAAAACAAATATAGGGTCAGCGTTTCATGCTGCATATAATGGTAGGCAGCCTGTTTGGATTGGGCACTTTGACTTTGACCATTCCCTTGTTAGCACTTTTTAATGCAGAGTATCCTGCTTAACCTGAAAGTCTTGTTCAGGAGACACCCTGGAAACTCTTTGCTTTTCAAAACAATTCAATCCTTTCTTTGCTCATATTGAAAAGAAACGCCATCGTCCATAATCAGGAAAGAAATCTGCGCAAAATGCAATTTTTCATGAGAAAATATGAGCAAGTCCGCAAGTGCTTCTTTTTGCTTTTTAAAAATCCTTTCTTGGGAGCTGAGGAATCAAAGCAGATAAGCTTTCCAATGAAAACAACCAGCTTATTTTTTTTAGCATAATCAGCTCTTCTCAGATGTAAGCATCTTGCCGTAAATCAACCGTTTTTCAAAAAAAAAGAGAACGAAAATAAAACTCTACGAACTTATGAAACCTAATAATTAAAAAATGAAAAGTATAATGTGACATGAGTAATTGGCTATGTACAATAAGTAACGCCAAAGCCTACCTGTTCGAGGGTATTTCATCAAAAAGACTGATTCCGCGACCTTCGTCACGAACAGCAGGTCTGTTAGCACCAAGCCGCATTAATGCAATATCTTTTAGAGTCTGATGTATGTCAAAATTGCTGAAACATTATGAAAATATATAAAAAAAAATTCGGTCTAGTTTGGGTTCATAGATACCTTGTGAGCTTCCATTTGTTTGCTAGAAAATTTTCATACTCTTTTGGATAGAGCGTTTTAAAATTACTTGGCAGTCGAATAGCCATGAGAGGCATTCGTTCCTCAATTCTACCTGTGTATGAATATTGAACCAATCCTATACGATTTCCATGGTCACCCATAATGACGCTTACACTGTTGTCCAAAGCATCTATACAAAAAATTAAGCACTAATACGATTTTTCTTAGTGATCACCGTTCATGGAGAGGTCCTCAAGACTGGATTTGACAAAATCGTCTACCGTTTCAATCAGAAAACCGGCTTCGTGGGTTAAACTGAAAGCGAATAAATTTTACTTTTGCCAATGTACCATTGGCTCCTGCTTCTCTTATGAGGCGAAGAGATGACAGCATAAAGCTTGGTGGTTTTGGCAGAAATTCGAAAAATATTTTGATCTACATTATCAGCGTTTACAATCGGTCCTATTTGAATTTGGGATCCGAACATACCAGCTCAAAAGATCACGCTCATAATTACATCTAATATCTTTTTTTATCAGATCATTATCGGGGAAAATTGCTAATTTACTCATTATACCCGTCGAAGTCAAGGTTTTTCATTTCTTAAGGTAACTTTTTTTAATCAAATCAAGACAACTATAATTAGCCAAATTGTATGCAAAAAAGTAATTAAGAAAAGCCCCGAGAAACGTTTGAATGCTAACAAGGTTGCTTTTAGAGATACAGCTAGGAAAAATGTGAGACGGACAGAATTCAGTGGGAGTTTCTGTCCATTTCGACGGACGAAAAAAAAGAATCTCATTGATCTGAGTTATCTCGATTGCACAGCACCTTTCGCATCAAAACCTAATCGGTGTAATAGCACTTACCTTGTTATAAAGGTAAATCCGAAATGGCATATGCTTTTGTACCTAATGGCAAATCGACGCCATAAGTTAATAAACTCTTGCTGAATCTGCCCACCATCTTTGCAGGCTTTATATGTCCAGTTCTGAAACAGTGCATCGAAGTATAAGCAAAGTCATTAGTGGTAGAAGAAACTGCGACAGAGAGAAAGAGAGAGAGAGAGTGAGAGAGAGAGGGAGAGAGAGAGAAAGAGAGGAAGAAGGGTGCGAAGAACGATTAAAAGGAATTAGAATGACTCAAGAGTAAGCGATAAAATCTGACCAGCTATCATAAGGTGCGCACTTAATACCTTGGTTTGAGTTTGAAGGTTACTGCGGAACTTGGCATGGCTGGCACAAAATCAAATTAGGTGATCTTACTATAATATCTTTTGGTAACTGCCAAAGCGATGCGACGAGAGTACTCTCCTCCCCCATATGCTTTGCCGTTGTGCTATGTGTTCTCTTACAGTGTTAACAGCAGACACGCGACAACGAGGGCAGTCCAGATTATGCGGCGACGAAATATAAGTGCGATACATGAACTAACGCGGATGTGCAGAGAACGCCGAGAGAGTACTGGGGAGCGCATGCGCTCAAGGAGGATCCACATAGTTTGCATAACAGCGACGTAGAGTTGGCGGCCTTCGTAGTTAGTGTTGTAGTCGTTCGTAGTGTTAGACTGTATGCACTTTAAGTGCAAATTATAGAGCTTGCTCCGCATGGAAAGTGCAAATATGGGTAACAGTCGTCAAAGATCACCTCCTCATTCATAAACAAGCAAGAGTGTCATGTGCAGAGCCCAAACAACAACGAAATATTGGTTCCAGACAACCGAATTAGTGCAAATGTCTGACCCCCGTTGCTATCATAATTCGGAAAACTGTCGCCCATTTCGCTTCCCATCCTGCCTAACTTCTTACAATCATTAGTTTTCGAAAAGCACATTATGATTTTGAACAATATGAAGGTTAGGAAAATAATATAATGTAACCTATCAATTTTACGGGGATTCGCTTAAACCTCACCTTTTGAACGCTTGTACACCTTGTGAATACTTGTTTTTGAAAATATTGTTTTTGCCTCTGGAAATAGAAAAACAGGGGAGCTACGTCTCGTTGGAAGAAAAGAATCAGTCGATTCATGCGGTAGTACATTTTTCTAAATTTCCAGGAACATTTTGCTAAATTTCTAGGATTAAATGCCGAATCTCACAAAAACCTGTTAAATACTCACTTTTGGATGCTTTTACAATGTGGAAATATTGTTTTTGCCTCAAGAAAAAACTGAGCAGAGGAAGCTCGGTCTGCTGAAAGGAAAGACCCAACAAATCCACTCGGAAATACATTTTATCGCGGCTACAAAGCGCGAGCTGCAAGTTACAGTTTCCGTTTCCCAAGCTGCGATATCATCTGAGTTGATCTTTTACAGAATCTAATGCGCCATCGCCACGTCAACAACTTGGAGCGGTGATGGGATTCAAGATATCGAGATCAGTGCAACAACTTCAAGCCGTCGGACGGCATCATCCTGCATCATTTTTCTCTTGATTATTTTTGATAGAATTGCGCCTTATTGTATTTTGGGAGTGCATCATTTTTGATATAGAATTGCGCCTTATTGTATTTTGGGAATGCATCATTTTTGATAGAGAATTGCGCCTTATTGTAAATATTTTGGAAACTACGCCTTTTATGCTGCCTAAAAAAGAACATCTTGGAAGCTTAGTCCTTTGCGCGCCAGTATGAAAAATTCCTAGGACTAAGCTTCTAGCACGCCTTTGACAAAATACTCAATTAGCTAAAGCAATATGTTGAAACTCAATTTTGAGATGCGCCAAAGAAAATGATAGTTCGAGCTTTCACTAGTGTAGTAGCTATATGTTATTTGTTATATTGCGCCGTCGTATTTTTTATCATAAAATATTGGTGAAAGACAGGGTTTAATTACCCAAGTTTGAGGTTTCCGACAATAAAGTGGTCGAGTGGTTGGTGTTGGTGAACAGTGTGAACCACCGAGCAAATTTATGGTGCATTGGCCGGGAATCGAACCCGGGCCGCCCGCGTGACAGGCGAGCATTCTTCCACTGAACCAACGATTCGAGAAGGAACTACTACAAGCGTTCGACGATTTGAAGGGTGCATGCGAAAGTGCACTTCACAAGCTACGCATATCAACATCCGCGATGACGCATACGATGAATGACGCGATCACAATGCAACCAGAAATCACACTAGAAACAATACCACTACATAGACAAACAGGGACGACTGAAGAATTAGAAGAAAGCATACACGCAGACCTGTCGAAACTCCAAATAAGTCACGAAGAAGTCATCGAAGATCAAGACCTTCACAGTTCAGGAAACTCACCACAGTCCGCAGGTGAAACGCCGACTTCACAAGAAAGCGACGGGGAGGATGCACAGATGCACCATGATGAGGAACACGTAGTGAGCACAGAAGAACAACAGCAACGTGAACCCAAATTGAGCACAGATGACGAAAAGGAAGAACTTGAGCCAGAGAACACACATATGGATGACTCACTACCAGACCTGGTGGAAGACGGCGACGCTTTGGAACTGATAGATGAGTCATCCAATGGCGAAGAGGAAACAAGGGTCCCCCACAAGTGGACGAAGCGCGCGAGGAAAAAGAAGAATCAGAGTTTCTGGAGATGGAGGAAGAGAGTGAAGCAATGGTTGAGGAATCAGTGGAAGTCGAAATGATAAGAGAAGGACCACCACCCTTCGTTGAAGAAGAGGAGGAGTTCGATTACGAAGAGGATGATGAGGAGAGGGTGAACCTCGATGAAGTTCGGATCCGAGTTGCAGCTGGAAATACAACAGCTGCGTCAAGCCATAGATGACCTGGAGCTAATAATCAAAGACCTCGAGGCTCGCTCAACCTGTCCACCCAGAAGACTCTATCGGGGGGGGGGGGGGGGGGAACCGTTCGGGACTATGAGCGCTTTATGAGATGCGCATTTTGTGGTCAGAAGGGCGCTCATTACTCGGACTCTTGTCCCGTAATACCGAACGGGGCTGGCCGCAGGGAGTACCTGGCAGAACGCAGAAGATGCAAAATCTGCCTGGAATTGTTGTGTCCAGGCGGAAGAAAATGCCGAAAATGGGTTGCTCTCTGTTTTCACTGTCGCAGATACGGCCACCATTCGTCCCTCTGCGAGCTACCGGAGGTAAGCCAGCCCATTTTGGAGAGGCTGACGCGCGCTCGCCAAGCACTGGAACGCGAACGAGCGCGGCTGCGCAGACTAGAGGAAGAACTCGATGTCTTCATCAACTACTAATCAAGGTGGGGCGGCAGTATCGCGGCTACAAAGCGCGAGCTGCAAGTTACAGTTTCCGTTTCCCAAGCTGCGATATCATCTGAGTTGATCTTTTACAGAATTTAATGCGCCATCGTCACGTCAAGAACTTGAAGCGGTGATGGGATTCAAGATATCGAGATCAGTGCAACAACTTCAAGCTGTCGGACGGCATCATCCTGCATCACGTTTTCTCTTGATCATTTTTGATAGAATTGCGCCTTATTGTATTTTGGGAATGCATCATTTTTGATAGAGAATTGCGCCTTATTTTATTTTGGAAACTACGCCTTTTATGCCGCCTAAAAAAGAACATCTTGGAAGCTTAGTCCTTTGCGCGCCAGTATGAAAAATTCCTAGGACTAAGCTTCTAGCACGCCTTTGACAAAATACTCAATTAGCTAAAGCAATATGTTGAAAGTCAAATATGAGATGCGCCAAAGAAAATGATAGATCGAGCTTTCACTAGTGTAGTAGCTGTATGTTATTTGTTATATTGCGCCGTCGTATTTTTTATCATAAAATATTGGTGAAAGACAGGGTTTAATTACCCAAGTTTGAGGTTTCCGACAATAAAGTGGTCGAGTGGTTGGTGTTGGTGAACAGTGTGAACCACCGAGCAAATTTACATTTCTTCCAACTAGACTTTAATGTGAAAATTCAAAGAACTTGCTGCATTTGTTTTTGGCGGCCTCTACTTTGTGAAATCTCTACTTTTGCCAATAAAAACAACACAGCAGAGGGAGCTGGTTTAATGGAAGAAAAGACTTAGTGTTCATGCGGCAGGAGATTTTTGATATGATTCTCTAGGTTTCAGTGCTGCATCTCACAGGAAAAGCTTGAAATTCAATTTGGCCGCTTTTATCTTGCAAAACCGAACTTCTGCTTCAAAAAGCACAAGTCTTGAAGAAAGGAAAGCTTTATAGGACTTTGTGCGGCAGCATATTTAGGCCAAGAACTTCTCAGTTTCAATGCTAAATCATGCAAAACTTGAAATACCCAGAGGTATGCGACAGGACATTTTGCGAGGAATGTCCAAAAGCTTTGAGCAAGCTTTGGTCTCGCTTTAAGAAATGACCGTTTCTTGGCGAGACGTAATAAGGAGTGTAGGGCTGTGCATGATCGCGAAGCTTGATGTGTTAGCGGCCGTTGCACAGTTCCTGAATGTCAGCCTGAGTTTCGGGCTGAAAGCTGTTCTATATAGATGACTGCTGAGGTGATCTGTGATCTTCATGTTTAGTAGCTGTGGTAACTGGGTCGGGTACTTGCAAGAAGAACAGCGTAGATGATTCGGGAGTTACTCACCATGAAAAGTTTCCTTGAGAGCATAATCTTACTTCTACTACTGCGTACTTACGTTGCCCCAACATCGTTGAGAAAATGGAAATGATCTTGAAATGAAATATGGAAATGAGCCTGACTTGCATTGCGAAAAAGATCGTTGAGAAAATGGGAATTCGTTCTCTTGCTATTTTTGGTTGCACGCAGACAGTTGTCAATGTATCTGCCCCAACCCACTTGCTAGCGACCCGTAAGGTCGTACTGCCGCGTGACATTTTTGCTAAGACTTCTTTGTTTTCAAGGCTAAGTTACAAAAAACCTCCTTGAAATCCACTTCAAGCAAAAATTCTTGTGCTCTCAGTAGCGGAAAAGTAAAGGAGCTTTGCAAGAAGAACAGCGTAGATGATTTGAGAGTTACCATTGTAAAAAGTTTGCTTAAGAGCATGATTTACTCCTACGACTACATACTTACGTTTCGCTAAAAATCGTTGAGAAAATG